GGGGACGCTCAGGCTGTCACTGCGGTTTCTCTCTGCCTGTGCCCAGGGCCACCCCACGGCCCGGCACCATCTGCCGCCCGCGGGCTCCCGCACGGCTCCAGGACGAGCCGCGATCCTGGCTCCGCGCGGACCAGGGGGAGCCAGGAAACGTTGTCTGACTAATTCCTCCTGCAGATGGGAATGGCTTTTGGGGCGTTTGCTGCTGTTTCACCCGGGAAAGGAGGCCGGCACCGTCGCTGGCACCAGGGCAGAGCCTCCGGGAAGCCCTGGGCCTCGCTCGCAGCCAGGGTGGGGAGGCGCTTCTGCAATGTGCTGACTTCCCTTTAGCTCAGCCATTGTATTTTTCTTCCCTAAGTCAATGCTTTTTGCACATGAAAGCTTTTCTGGGCAATAAGCAGCAAGCGGAGAGGAAAGCAAATGAATGCTTTTGGAGGGAGAGTCTCATAAATCATCTTTCAAAAGCTGCCAGAGATAGAAATATCTGCTGTAGAGCCCATCCTTTCCCCACTTACACTGGTCCTGCGGATAGGAGGCACCTGGGGCTGCTCCGCTGACCCTTGTGAGGGGCCAGGATGGCAACTCCTGCCCTGCTGCACAAGCGGGATTAGGTTCCTGGTGGCTGCAAGCGCTGGAGAAAGAGCATAAAGCGAAACCATGTGCAGTTCTGTACAGCATTTGGTGTCCCAAATTTAGGAAAAGACAGTAGGAGAAGCCAAACTATCCTTACTCATTTTAAATTATATATCCATGTAGCTGAGCACGATGTTGACTTGTACTTCTCTTGGAGTGTTTTCTCCAAGAAAATGGAAACCTTAGGAATTTATGATTTAGTCAGGATAAACGGCGGAAGGCAGCAGAGCACATCGGAATCCGGCTGCTAAATTGTGACAGGTTGAGGGAGGAGGCTGTGACGATTCGTCTGCTCTGGCCCTGGGATGAGCACAAGAACCGCTTGTCTTAATTTGCAACCAGGAGACTTTGCTCAACTCTTAGGTTAACCTGCTGCAGAGCAACCTGAGCAGAAAACAGTTTGAGAACAGACTGTATTAACAGTCTGGATCATCTTGGATCATCTGTGCACACCTGACTCCATGGACGCTGATGGGAACCGTGTCCCTTCCAGCCTACTCTCAGGGATTTCTAATATCCCACTGCCGCCTTAGTTCCTTGCTGCATACACTGACATGCTCCCCCTTAGCCCAGGAGCAATTTTTAAGATATTCTGCCTCCGCAATCCCGATTAATAAACAAAACAATCATGTTTTTAATGTAGAAGGCAAAATACGGGATTACTGATACTAGACAGCTATAATCAAACCGTTCCACTCCAATGAATAATATATGTACAGTAACAAATGCTTGCTAAATACTCCATGCAAATGCTTATGTATTTTTCATAATTGTTCAGGATAATGAGCAGTAAACAGTTCCAGAAGCTGTGGTGATAAATACGTCAAATTCGTTAGCCCATGTATTTTCCCAAGAAGAAAGCTAAAGCTGAGAGTATGTTTAACCACAATCTAACCCACACCCTGCAAAAATATTACGCTTCTGCTAGGAAAACGTGAGCCCACAGAAAACTGAAATCTTAGGAATTTCGTGAGCAGTGGAGGGATGATCCTGTCAATCCCTGCATCCCTACGGCATGTGCCTGCTCCCCCTCGCTCCCTGGGAGGCTGCATTTTGTCACCTCCTGCTCTGCAATGACAAGAGGCTCTTGGTGCAGCATGAGCAGGATGAGGCCCTGGGCGCTGCCCCGGCCTCCATTCCTTCAAGCATGTGAAAGGGACCTCTCAGAGTTGCTGTTCCCGAGCTCTACACACGCTGAAGGGCGAGTGGGATTGTTTCCATACACTCCACCTTGAATTCCTTTTCATGAGCTTATTATTTTTTTCCAGGAATTTCCCTAGTTTTCTTATTAAAAGCCCGTCCCCAAACTGACTCCCCTCCTGCTCTAGGACTATCTCTAAAGGGCAGCTCCACACGAACAGTTTCAAGGTGGTTAAAATCTCTACGGAACTGACACCCTAAGGAGGTTGAGGGGTGTTTTGCCAGACTCCAAGGCCAAGGTGACATCCTGGGAGCTGAGCATCCTTGTCCTCGCCGTGGTTTCCCTTGGCCTGTGCTCCTTCTCTCCCCTCTCCCTTGGCTCCTGGCCTTCCCAAACACATGAAAACTTTACCAATGGGTCTTAAAACTCCCTATGCAGTTTCTCACCTTCCAAAAACCCTTTCTGCTTGTTTTTGTGTGAGGCAGAAGGAATTTGGGAAGACGGCTGCCCCACGGGGAGAGCCGTGCCGGGCACATCCTGCCTGGCTCATCCCGAGAAGGGAGCTGGGGTTTTGCTGATGGAGATGCTCCAGCCTCTCCATCGCTCACGCCATGAATGCTGACGCACCGTGAGTAATTTAACCATAATAACCTCGCTGTCGTGCTGCTCAACTGCCCTTCTGCTAAGTGCTAGGTCCTCGTGCAGCCAAATGCAGGAAGGCTGGCGCGCTCGCCGCTGCAGGCTGAGGAGCACTTTGTGCTCTTCTATCAGCAGTAATGCTTCTCCTCACCAGGAACTTTGGGTTTCGGTATTTTTCACTTGGGAAACGAATGACCGTCGATTACAAGAGCAAAAAAATAAGATCATTGCTTATTTAATCACTTACTCTGAAGTCTTGTGATGCATCTAAGTGTACTTGTGTATGCTTTTTCTGATGAGCCATGTGCTTGGTCCTCAGGTTGCTGTGTGTGCTTGGCACAGGTAGAGTCCTCTCTCGGTAGCTGGCGGGCAGTTTTGCTGGCACGGGGCAGATGAAGAGCTGCTAGCAAGGTGGGGAGCAGTCAGGGTGCAGTAGCACCCAGTTGCTCGGCCAGACACCAGGAAAGGTCTTGGAGAACCCACTGCGAGCTACGGAAGGACAAGTGCAGCTGTAGTGGGCAGATCACCATCCAGCACCAGAAAATCCCCCATATCTCGGTCTGGAGAAGGTTCTAGATGGCCTTGACAAAGCTGTGGGGCAGTGGAAAGCAAAGGGGTCTTTGTGGGGCTGCTCGAGGGGAGCTCCAGGTTACCTTCCCCGGTTGCTGCAGGTTGCCTCTCCTTCCCCAAAACAAGGATCACTGCAATTGGTCCCACTAGGAGGCTGCAGCCTTCGGGCTCCAGTTGCAAGTGCCCACAAACACGAGGGTGAGGCTGGCTCCATGCAAATCCCCCCAAGGACCCTATATATTTACAACTACTTCCCAGCACCCTCCCCCTGCCCCTTCCTCCTACCTGCCGCAGCTGGGGAGTCCCCTGCTCAGGACAGGAATGTTTCTATGGACTGCGGGAAGGAAGCAACAGAGCAGCAGGAAAAGGCAGGGAAACCAGAGCAGTTCAGTTGGCAGGACCACACGGGTAATCACGGACCTGGGCTTGTGAATGGGAGATTTGGGACATTCTGTGGGAGCCGAGCGCTGGCGCAGACCCGGCTGCTCATGCAGCAGCTCTTGTTTTTGGGACTCCAACCGGAGCATCGCAAGGGAGCCGTGGGCGCCCTCAGAGCCTCTTTCTGTGCTTGTGTCTCTGCCAGTCGAGGAACAGCGGGCAGCAGGGGGACTTGGACGGAGCCCGGCGCCTCGGCCGCATGGCCAGGCTGCTCAGCATCGTCTCCATCATCCTGGGGACCATCATCATCGTGCTCTACGTGTCACTCAGCGTCAGAGGTAACTCCTGCTCTTGTCCCCAGCCTGGCTAGGGCAGGGACTCCACGCTGCCTCGAGCGCACTGTCCTAAGGGACACTAGCCCAGGTGACACCTCATCCCTGGGGACTGGAGGGTCAGGGCACTAAACACGACCCCAGCCAGCGTTTCCAGCCCCTACCTGCACACGTGCACAAGAAGCTCCTTGGAGAACAGGTTCCTTGTAGCAGTAGTTGACACTGTTCAAACGGAAAGTCCTTCCTGTGGGGACCCATAACACGGCAGTGACAAGACTGAATCTCCCAGGTGAGCGTTAGTTGGGCTGGGGCTGCAGGGCTTACCCTGGTGGAGGATTTAGCAGGACGGTAGCGGGGTGAAGGAGGAGCGATTCCACACACAGATCAATGTGCCTACAACTGCAGTCCCCGAATGGTGGCAGAAACTCCCCAAACGAGTCCACTTTCCAAAAGCAGCATTGCTGCTCAGCAAGCAGGAGCACCTCGGGTCTAGCACACCTGAACACTCACAGCCCAAACCAAGAGCATTAGGGAAATACTTACGACCATTGGAAGCTGCCCTAAGACTCTCTTTGCTTTACAGGTTCCTAGAAGACATTTCAGCATGCAAATACCTCGAGGAGGAGGAAGACAACTTTCCTTTTGGGGTTTTTACTTTCAGCCTTGCAACAAAACTTGTCACAGAATAGGTGGACAGCCCTGGGAAAAGTCTGCTCTGGAGCGCCATCCGAAGAAACGCATGCATCTACTTCACAACCTCTTGGAAGACGAATCTGTACAAAACTAAAGGTTTGGATAATAAATCACAACGAGCAATGGGAAAGAATATCAGATCCCGAGCGGAGCGGAGAAGGGGAAATCCACTACCTCATTCCCCTCCAGCAAAACTCACGGAGCGGGGAGACAACTATCGGTAAAATGCAAGAGGAGAGAATTTCAAGAACGAAGCTTATTTTAAAGAAAATTTAAGGACAGAACAGGACACTTTGAGGAGTCCTCCTAGGAACTTTGACACAAGCGACTGTATTTTGGAAGGGGTTGCTGGTTTTTAAATTGTCAAATTCTCTGTCTCTACAAAAAAAGCTCAAACTGCCATCAGGAGATGAAATCTGTTCCACAGAGGAGGAGGGAGAGCAGAACTGCAGAAGAAACACAGCTCTGCTCCGATCACGCAGCTATAAAAGCTGGAGGATGTGGTGGGTGTTTTTTTTATTTTTAATGAAAAAAAAAAAGAAAAAAAGACACAATGACCATTTGCATGCCTTTGGGAACGTTCTCTGTGCCCGTTTGGACAAGCTCTTTCATCACCTACAGCGTATCTCAGAGCTGGGAGGGCAGGATGCTGCTGCATGAAAACGCCAGGCTCCTCCTCACCCAGATCCCGTGTTGGGGTTTTTAGTGGAAGGGAAAATGTTTTCTCTGTGAAACCACAGTTCTTTTTCTCTGTGAAACCACAGTTCTTTTTCTCTGTGCACCCAAAGGGAGGTTGATACTCGTGGCGCGGAGCAGAGGGCCTGGTTGATCCGTGGCGGCGGTAGCAAGGCACAGAGAGCCCGTTCTACCCACTTGAGCATTTATGTCATGTCATGTCCCAAGCTAAAGCGGGACCCAGACTCCATCCCTGGCACTGCTGATCCCCCCTGACCCTTCTGGGCTTCAGCTCAGGGATGACCAGGGGGATTTTCAGGGGCACAGAGGAGTTTAAAACCCCTGCTCTCCTCTTCCGCATCCCTGAATATCTCCAGCATCCCAGGAGCTGCCTGGGATCAATTCCATGGATATTTTAAAATGTTTTATATTTTAAAAAATATAGAGACTTTGCTCTTCCAGACCTGCCTACCTGCACACTCCTGCCCACCATAGTCTTCCTCAGCACACGGCTCCCTGGGATGTTTTCCACAGATTTAGCTCCCCAGCCTTGTCCCACGTCACACCATCTCTCATCCAGCTCTTCCCGCGAGTCACCCTGGGCACGGTGCTGTATTCGGCCATCCAGACTATGCAAAGTTTCATTGCCGTTTTAGTTTGGTTTTGTTGTTAATTCGGGCTTTGCAGATGGCCTCTGGTTATAGCCACGAGCTCCATATTAGCTGAAAATCTCTGCTTTACGAAAGCTTTGCAGACACGGTTTACAATCGAGAGCTGCACTCCCTGTCCTTCCCGTTGCCTGCAACTCCCAACCTGGCACCCAGCTGTGTGCACCGCGTGGGAAAACAGGGTGTTCCCAGGGCGCTTCCTCCACTCCGTATCTCCATGGATCCCTTGGAAAAACCTGAGACTAAATCTAATGCTTCTGCATGGAGAATTTATTGTGGGCTGCAAGAGCCTCCATAAGATGCTAATTCCTTGGCACTAACTTGCTCCCTGGGCAGCCCGAGTGGGGGAATCCCTTGCGTGGAGGCACACGAGCCCACGTGGGGGGCACCGAAGAGCCGCTGTGCCATGAACTCACCCTGTGGTTCCTACGCAGTAGTCGACTTGCAGAGCCACAGCCTGAGCTGAGAAAATTCTCCCTGTCCATTTGTTTGCTCCTCATCAAAACATTTTCTTTCGCTAGACATTATTTGGTGGGGACAAGACATCCAATCCTCTATACAGACTGCTAACCTTTCCTCTAAATTAGAAGGAGTTCCAGGGACTCAGAGCAATAGCGCATCACTACAGCACTTTCCTGGGCTACATTCCCATCCCTCCAGTCCAAGGGGATTTATTAGAAACTAGCAGCTTCCAAAATGGACCAAATGTGCAGTGTTTCCCTCGCAGTTTGTTTTTGCGCCTTGGTGCTTAGGGAGAGCTTTGAGCACTGCAGTGCAGGGAGCCGAGGGCCCCAGGATGTGCAATCCCCCCACTGCAGCCGTTATCAGACTGCCCCTTGGAACTTGCTTCTCTTGTGCTCTAACTCATCAGAAACCTCCCTCCTGAAATGGGCTGCAGATGGTGTTTCTGTCCCAAGAGATCCCCCAACCACTTCTTCTGTGACACCTGAACCCAAAAGCTGCTTGCTGAGGAATGTCCAATACTGTTCCTGACTTACGTGTCCACAGTGCAGACTCTTCATGCATCTTCTTACCCTCCGCTCTTCGAGCTGCTGAAATTCAGTTTGTGGTAGTGGCCAAGAAAGCTCCTCCTAGAACAGGAAGAGTTGATAGTCAAGAAAAACTGCAGCAGTTGAGTTATACAACTTGAGAGCCCCATATTTATTAAATAAAAATTTAAATGCTATTTTATCATCATATAAAGCCTTTCATCTAGAGAGCCTAAAGTGCTTTACCCCATTTTAAAGAATTAAACCTCCCAAACCCATATGAGGTGGTTTAGCGTTACACTCTCCTAATTGCACCGATGGCAAAGCCGCTGAAGGCTGCACACCCTGCACAGCTAGCGAGAGAAACCAGTCACTCTTTCTTGTCCTTAATATAAATATGAACAAGTGGATATGTATTTCCTTATAATGTGATTTTCTCTAGTGGGATCTATGCAAACACACCCTCTGCAAAAGAGACAGGAGTCCCTGTCACTCCAGTCCTGATCGTGCTGGGACTTAGCAAGGCGGCTGCAACGATCCCTTCTAGGAGGAGGCCTAGGCCAGGGAAGCAGGCAGCAACAAACTCCTCATTTTTTTTAATCTTCTTTCTGATTAGCTACAATTGCACTGCTCTGAACCCAAGAATACATCCAAGACCCAGCTGAAAGCCTCTACCGTTATTCCTGAGCAATTAATTATACACATATATATATAGACACACACACACGCATTTTTTTTCGGATTTTCTTGTTATCTGGGTCTCTTGGACACAGCATTACAGGAATAACCTCTCCAGGACTAGCTAGAAACAGAATCTTTTTACCCCAATCTCCAACAACCGACTCATCTATTTGCAATCCAGCATTTTATAAAAGTTCCTGCCACCAGATCCTTAGGAAGTTGCTCTCCACTTTGCTCTCTTTTTGCCCCAGTTCCGTTGCCGCCTTCCTCTGATTCTCTTAGACGCCAGCATTTGCAAAGGAAGAATCTGATCCCTCCCTTCTTTGTCTCACACTTCAAATGTTATTGCCATATGAGGAGCTAAGTCACAGCAGGACACCACCCCCAGGCCACCAGTTTTCCCCTTCACTCCACATCTGAGTTGGCCACATTATTTGCCAATTCCTAAGTGTTTTAACAGGGCCAACAGTATCTGAATGCAACCAGAAGAGACCCCTCCCTGCAAGTCATCCTTCATGAACTTTTGCAAATTTAGCTTTTAACTGAGTGCAGGAAAATCTGGCTTCCCCAGTGTGCTCGGGCTGCGTTTTTAGGCCGCAGAGGGTGATTGTAAAGTGTGTCACGAGAAGATATCTCCTCTCCAGCCCCACAAGCAGGACCTAGCTCTTATGTCACAGCTCCAGGCCACCTGCTGCAGCCTCCCCTAAGCACACACGTCAGCAGCGACTTGTCTACGTGCTCGCAACCGGAGCGGTCACAAAACACCCGGGATCTGGCCAACTGGTACCCTA